AATGCTAAAATATAAACTGGTCCAGGTACAAATCCAAGGTTTGATATTGCACACCAGTTATCAGAAATATTCCCATTGTAAAAATATACTCTGACAGGATTACTCATGGTGGTAATATCCCAGGAATCGATTAAGGACAATCCTGTCTCACAACTATTGCAGCTAGTCTCTCGAAACAGGATGCCTTGTCTAGCTCCAAAGTACCACAGTGTGGTTTACCCTTAAGTTAAAAGTGAATCTCCTCACTTAATAACCAGAGCAATGTGTTTGCAAGCAATCTTCACATGTTGCTACTTTGGCATCATCTAACATACACATCACATAGGTGACACAGACAACAACCAACAGACATGTATTTATGTTGTCATGATGGGATCAATCATCCCTCATACTGGTTTACAACATCATGAGAATGGCTAGACTCTGAATTGACAAGAACTAGCTCATAATGTTGAATTATATAAAATACATAATTGTAGCTCCTGGCAGAGCTCGATGATCATACTCGTATAATACTCGTAGCATTTTATTTATACCTCTCTTCTCTGAGAACTGGCAAAGCACCATCAGTGGCTGTTCAGTGTCTCTCCCCCTCCATGGGCCCCACATGCAGCAGCATTGGGCCTAACTTTACTGGATATCGCCAGATTGTTTCTACATCAAATAAACTGCAGATTCAAAAAGTAATAAAACAGCTTTAGACTGGTATTTCTGTGGAGTAAATATTCTATTACTATTCCAATGATCTGAGCTTTACAGGCCGTAAATGACTAAGGATTAGCCTCACTTCCATTTCAAGAAGTGAGGCCATCTCTGGACATTGTGTGGAACCTTAAATGAATCAACCTAAATGTTTAATTCAGTAAAATGTTAATTTAGGTTGGGTCAGGGTAATTTTATTATATAGGCTAACATGGCCTTAAGTGACGTGTGAGATGCAAAAAGCAAAAAGAAAGTCCCTCACTGCTAAATGACAGCTTGCCATTAAGATTTAAGTGATGGGCTCTGCTTTTAAGACAGCACACATTTCCTCCATAACAGTGTACATCAATATTGACTCATGGGAGGAATCATACTCACACACGCAGATTAACATCATCTGAAGTTCAGGATCAATCCCTTCTTGAATAGTCAAATGCCACCAGGATAAGAAGATTGGGGCTGTCTCTTTTCACAGATATAATTAAAATATCTTAACCATGACCTCAAAACTGTTATCAAACTATAGCTACTTGTGTCAGACAAAAGTGAGCAAATGCAAACAAGATATTCATAGGGACAATGGAGACATGTTCTTAATTAAAGGCACTGGCAGTCACCAAACAAGACAGCGATAACCTGTAAATAATGAATGCGTCCCTGTTTTCCTGTTGACGCAGATCTTGAGCCAAATTGAACAGATGGATGAACAGACAAGGTGCTGGCTTGATGTGCGGGAGGGATGTCTGGAAAGTTTAACATCCATTCAGGTGAAATACACATGGTCATCATCAGCCCACAGTTGAGCCTATTGGGCCACGCCTCTGGGATCACCATGACCACATTCCTCAGAATAGCCTGACTCTGGTCGGGAGGACTCCGAGCCCAACCCAGCAGAGATGTGGGACTAAAAGCACAGTCGGACAGTCTTACTACCAATATCAACGGTTAGCTGCAGTATTTTTGCTGCAAGCTGAAGTGTTGGGATTAGCTGTGGCTCCTTTAGAACAGCTCTAAATCTAATTAGGCTATATGTCTCATTGCTACCGTCAGCAAGGGGAGAATTGACATACACGAACAATCCTGGTATGCACTAAAGCAAACTGAATGCAGTAGTAGGAAGTGCATCCAGTGGTGAGATGTAACCAACTGCTAAATGCAATGTAAAATGTTGAGGTACTTGTTCAGTGGTTCAATCAAGTTTTTCCTAATCTTTTTATGGCTTTTGACCACTTTTCTGCTTTTTTTTCACGTTTAGATTCCAGTCTAAACTTTTCACATGGTTTGATTCAATGTCTAACGTTTGAAATACTTCACAAACAAAATAATAATTGGAGAAATGTTCAAAATTGAATACAGATTTGTTAAGCAGAACTATGTTTTGTTCTCTTTATCTCATAGTGATGCTGGAGGGGCCTGACCCTTAGTTTGGGAGCCACTGCACTGAACTGAACTGTAAATACTTAAAATTAGTTCCACCTCGACCAGCTTTTAAGTTATTTTAATAAGCATGTTTTATTTGTCAGTGTATTTTGATTACATGTTACATGAAAGTAGCATCTGAGTCTTTACCACTACTGACTAAATGTGCATTTCTTGCCTGTGCGTGCATATCAGTGACACATTTTGCAACACATTTGTTGTGCCTTTGACTATCTCCACTAAAACTGTTTGGCTAGGTAATAACCATGGTATTAGCTAGCTGTATAACCTCTCATGACATTGGAAAACTGCGGAAAACAGCAATAATGTAGGTCCTTTATATTGGCCACATCCTGTCAGCTGCATGTTTGTGCAGCTTTAGGGGAGATGGGAGGGCGATTTGGGATTTTACTTGACATAAAGTTGTTATCCCAGCAAGTTATATCCATTTGCATGTACAGATGTAACACCAGTCAAATTGCTGTAATATAAGACTACAATGCAAGAGTCAAGGGTTGCCACTATCATGACATACCAACCAAAGTAGTATCCTATCAGCAAGTAAAAATAGGGGAAGGATAATAATACAGTTTTTGTAGCTGCATGCACAGCATCACATAGGGCAATAATGCTGTAAAGACGTTTATGACGTACACTTATTTCAGTTTAGCTAAAGTGGCTACGCCCTGTGGTAAACCACAAGCCTGTGTGTGTAACTGTATGTGTGTGCAAGTGTTAATGTTATAAGAAAAAGGCCCTCAAACCTCAGAGGTCTAACTAATCTTAAGCACAAAAATGTTACTAAGATATAAAAATATGTGTCCAAGTATAAGCTTGGCATCAAACAGTGTCTGTACAAGTGCCTGCATACAGTATGTGTGTATGGTGTATGGTGTATGTGTGTGTGTGTGTGTGTGTGTGTGTGTGTGTGTGTGTGTGTGTGTGTGTGTGTGTGTGGGAATGCAGATCCAATAACAGAAAGAGGAAGATGAGGCAGATGCTGACTCTAAGCAGATTATTGAAAGGATGCTCACTGTTGTTTCATTATGCATAAGCTAGCCGCCACAAAAGCAGCGTCTGGAGGCGTTGGCACACTTAAAATAACTGCACACTTACAACAACCATGGCACGCACACACACACACACACACACACACACACACACACACACACACACACACACACACACACACACACAACCTACTTTGTGTATGGATATATGTGAGAGGGATAGAGGGTATCAAGTTGAACAGATGGCAATTGACATGTTCAAAGTTAATACTGACTTTCTGGGAAAAAAACAAGAGAAAATCTCCATGAATAGTATATGAATAACACCTTAAGAATGCCTGTGATTTGTGGAAAGGACATCAAACCACTTTATATAAACAACATAAGCAGAACCTCCATGTTGATCAAACTTGTTATTTCTGAGTTGGTTATTCCTTCCTTCATTCTCAACACTGCATCTGTAGAAAATAAACAGATGAAAAGCAGAAATCATGCTGTAGGCTTGTAGTGGGGTTACAGAAAAACTAATGAGCAACACATTCAAATATAAATCCTTTCAGCTAAAGCAGGGGTCTTAACATTTATCTAAACACAACATTTTTTTTATCTACCATAGTTTCTGATTAAAAATTGAGAACAAAAAGATAAAAACATACAACATTTTATGTTGGATTTAGTTCAAATTTAGAGTCTGAAGTGACCTGTAGTTTAGACAATGTAAGAAAAGTAGGATGCAAACGCATGTGCTGAAGCCGACCTGAGAAAGAAGGTGAACTGGGAAAGGGTTGAGCCCCAGACAATACATGTAAACTGATGTTTATGTGATAATCTCAAATATGTAAACGTTTCAGACACTATGAAAACATCCTTGTTTATGTTTTCTATATTACCTAGATAGCTTGGATTTTTTATGAACAGAGGAGCTTAAGAACCGTCTCTTTTAAACCACTTAAATGCAGACAACATTTACTGAACAGAATAAAGAGTGAGACATATTTTATCCTAAATCACAATTTCTGCATGTGATTAGTGCAAGCAGCTTCCCTTCAATTGATGGATGTTTGCATGAAGAGTTGTTTTGATAAATGTGTATGGACCTAAATCTTTAGACATGTACAATAGGTTGTCTCAAAATATTGTAAAAAAAATCTTTCTCTATTTGCAAGTAGTTAATGTAGCAGCATCATTGCCAAACGCAGCAATGAATAACATCAGTTTGTCAGCCATTGAGAGCAAAGAGAGCAAAGTGTGACTGATCAGTGTTATAGCACCACCTAGTGTCAGTGTTATAGCACCACCTAGTGTGTTCCTTATGGGCCACATGATTAACAGGATGGAGGTGATAATCATAAAAAGACTGGCTTGTAGTTTTATTGAAGTGTTGATGTTCCCCATAAACTGGTGAAGCAAGGTATATATGTTCACATAAATAAAGACAGACTTTGTTTAAGCCTTAAAACTTCCCAACTCCAAGGCTAATTCAGAACTAAGGACATCTTCCCATGGTAACTACTAGTGACCCATTCTGACCAGGGGCATAAAATAACACAAAAAAGGAAGAAAAAGGAACGCATGACTCATGATATCAATCAGAAAATATTGTGCCTCGCCACATCAAAACAAGTTTTTGTAATCAAATTAAAACAAATGAACTTGCTATAGTGACCTCGGGGCCTCCTTGGACCCAGAAAATCTCAGGGTCCAAGCTTTAACTTTTAGATAAGGCAGCCTTGACCAAACAGGTATGATCAGCATCATAATTATGATAATATTCAAGTGTAGTTAAACATTTCAATGTATGGTGGCTTGATGATTAAAGGTTAAAGGTAGAATATGTGGATGGCACTGCCCCTTTAAACATCTCTCCTTGCAGTCTTGCTCTCCGGGCGGCTCTCTCTTCCCCATTTCGCTGCTTTGTTTTCATCGTCGCTCCTCTGATCATGGCTGCCCATTCTGCAGAAGAACCGTTCCCCTTCCACGGACTGCTTCCCAAAAAAGAAACTGGAGCCACGTCTTACCTCACCAGGTTCCCCGAGTACGATGGCCGAGGAGTGCTCATCGCTATCCTGGACACCGGCGTGGATCCCGGAGCCCCCGGCATGCAGGTACATCTAACCGGCAGCTGTCTCACGTTAGCTGTTAGCTAGCTGGTGGTAGCTAGCAAAGCTAAAGGCCCACATATTTCACATTATATACACACAATAACTATGAAAACAAACTTCATGTGTGTTATGACAACCAAATCAACACAAAACTATTGATTGCGTATTGTCCCCCTAGCTGTTAAAGTGTGTTTCGGTGCTAAACAAACATACTAACGTTATAATATGCTAGTTGACATAACTGCTAGCATGTTAGCCTGGCAGCTAACAGCTGAATATGTCCGCCTCAGTTTTCATTCAACCTCCCCACTGATTATTCATAATTTATCCTGTCACCTGGTTAACTACCGTTTGGCTGTTATGATTCGTATCTAAATTAATGTTTATTTGTCATTATTAGTTGCAAACATATAGTATGTTGTTTTAGTTGTCTGTTAGTGAGTCCTAACTACATGTTTACTGCCAAGTCACACTGGAACCTAAAGTTAGCTTAGCAACTAGCTACACCGTTTGAAACCAGTTAATGACAGTTTCCATACAGTTTTGTCTGGTTAGAAACCAGCATGTTAGGCACATCGTGACACTTAATAAAGGTTAACCGGAAGTTCGCCTGGAAAAATCTTACCGCTAATTTATTACACCTAAAATAATAGTAAACACACTGGTGCACAACAATCCTGTTGGCAGCTATGTGGCTGCACAGAGGCAATTCACACACATTGTCTCGGAATGTCATAAATTACACATTTTGGGAGACTATGTTGAAATGAATGAATTCAGGGTAATGCAAAGTACTGTACATTGGAAATACACTTCATAATGTCAGTCACTGATAATTATATAACCGAGATCCCAAGAAGGCAATGTCAATAAAGAAAAAAAAACCCTACTGTGGAGCAATAGTTAGATATCATAAGATACATTTATAATATGGAAAACTGAATTGAAGAAATTAATGATTTATGGCCTTACTGAAATATACATTTCAAGATACTGGATATGAAAATGCCTGTATTTGAAGATGGGCACTTATAACTATGTTTATTTTGTTTTCATTTTGTATCTTAATAATGTGTATACACAAACTTCGTATTACATTCTATACATTACATTTCATCTAGTTTGCCCTTTTATCCAAAAACCACTTGCAATAAGTGCAATCAACCAATTACATCAATCTTTTTATTTTTAAACACGTCACCTTGCTTCACTGATACTTTAAATTCCAGAATCTGAACTTGACCCCTTCTTAAAGACACACGTATAAAGGGATATGGGCAAAGCATTTGAAGTTTCTTCACTATAAGGAATGGTTTGAGCATTACTCAGTCAAGTTAAAAATCATCACTGCTTCTTTCAGGTTACAACTGAAGGGAAGCCAAAGATCGTCGACATCATCGATACAACAGGCAGCGGTGACGTGAATATGACCACGTTGGCAGAACCTAAAGATGGGACAATCACTGGCCTCTCTGGTACAACACTTAAGGTTAGTACAAAGAGTAATAAAATATGTTACATAGGAAATAGTCCCTTTTTTAAATGTGACTTAATTTGCCTATATCATAACAACTACATTTTTTGTATTATTCTTGTGTATAGTCTCACACTGTGTCTTTCTATGTCTTCCAGATCCCACCTTCCTGGGTCAATCCATCAGGGAAGTATCACATTGGAGTTAAAAATGGCTACGAGTTCTTCCCTAAGGCTCTAAAAGAAAGAATACAGGTAGGAACACATGACAATAATAATAATAATACATTTTAATTCAAAAGCGCTTTTCTTGAACCCAAAGACGCTTTCTACCATGTCTGTCATAGTATTTTGCAACATTGTGGTTGGGCACATAGCATCTCTCCTTTGCAGTGTTACTACTATATATATTTTTACTTAGGGTAGTAAAACAAAGTGCATGTTTTCAAAATCCTGTAGATGAAATTCATGGAAATGTATTTGCTTGCCATCCTCTGTGGTGGTTTTATTGCACTTATGTTGTACTTTCGTCTACTAGAAAGAGCGAAAGGAGAAGTTGTGGGACCCACCACACCGAGCAGCACTAGCTGAGGTCTCACGCAAAACCGAAGAGTTTGACCTCGCTCACCCAACACCCTCACAGGTCAGACCTACACCATTTTGAGTTCTTTGTGAATTAGTCTGTGTCAATGCAGTTTCTAGTCACAGTAATTTGGTGTTTCCTAATCTTATTTCTATACTGTCTCTTTCCAATGTATCCTTGGTTCCTCACTAGTTGGAGAAGTTGCAGAAAGAAGAGCTTCAGAGTCAGTCAGAGCTGCTGGCTTCACTAGAAAAGAAGTACAGTGACCCTGGTCCTGTATATGACTGTGTGCTTTGGCATGACGGATTCACATGGAGGTAAACCCTATCAACATTTTTCCTTTGCATACATTTATTTGTACCATTCCTCTTCACTTCATACTATTCCTTACCAATAGCATATTTTTCCTTCACATTGTCTGTTCCTATTTGATCTCTTTAGGGCTGTGGTTGACACTTCAGAGAGTGGGGACCTGCCCCAGTGCACAGTGCTGAGCCCCTACAAAGAGTCGCAAGAGTATGCCACGTTGGGAAATGCTGAGATGCTTAACTACTCTGTTAATATTTATGATGAGGGAAACACACTCTGCATCGTCACCAGTGGAGGTGAGATATATCCCAAAGCACCTAGTCCATCTCTTAAAGGATGCCTTCATATCATTCAGTCTCAAAAGGATTCTCAGTGTAACGGTCACTCATAGCAGTTTCACCACTTGAGGCTGCATAATCGATTTCATTTGACTCTGTGTATTCTCTAGTCTAACTTGCTTATTTTCTTTAATAAAGGGGCTCATGGGACACACGTGGCAAGCATCGCAGCAGGTTACTTCCCAGAGGATCCTGATCGCAACGGCGTGTCCCCCGGAGCCCAAATCCTGGCTATTAAGATTGGAGACACCCGCCTCAGCACAATGGAAACAGGCACTGGACTCATCCGCGCGGTATAATGCCCAGACAAATATAAACAAACGACCCTTTTTTCCTCTTCTTTCAGCCTTTAATTTTCTCTCTCTCTTCTCACTCAAAGATGATTGAAGTCATCAACTACAAGTGTGACCTGGTTAACTACAGCTACGGGGAAGCCACCCACTGGCCTAATACAGGGTATGTATTGCAGCAGGGGGTGTGATTGTGTGGGTTTGTTTTGTGTGGAACACTTTCACTGATTTGTGTCAATTTCTCTCCCAGGAGGGTTTGTGAGGTGATCACAGAGGCTGTGCAGAAGCACAATGTGATATTTGTTTCAAGTGCAGGAAACAACGGTCCGTGCCTTTCCACGGTCGGCTGCCCAGGAGGAACCACCAGCAGTGTCATAGGTACGCAGTCAAACATAGTTTAGCCTGTTTAACTGTGTTCAAGATGGCTTTTTATTATTTACAGTAGAAAAGACACATAAACAACACACTGGCCATGATTCCTACAGCTAAAATAATTAGCAGTTTGTTTTATCATGGAATTTCCAAAATCCCTTTTATGGTAAAATAATAATAGAAGAAAGAACATTGCGTAGCCAAATCATTTATGTATTAATGTTATTTACATGTTAATTCCTGCCCCCTTCCTCTCTGTAGGAGTTGGAGCATATGTGACTCCAGACATGATGGTGGCCGAGTATTCCCTGAGAGAGAAGCTGCCTCCCAACCAGTACACCTGGTCATCAAGGGGCCCCTGCACAGACGGGGCCCTGGGGGTCAGCATCAGTGCGCCAGGCGGGGCCATTGCATCTGTACCCAACTGGACACTTCGTGGTACACAGCTGATGAACGGCACTTCCATGTCGTCCCCTAATGCCTGTGGCGGCATCGCACTCATCCTCTCAGGTGCGTCCAGGATCATGGACTCATAATAGACGTGGGACTATATTGCATGTATGGAAGATCCTCCAAAATGTAAATCTGATGCTAATGTGTGTGGTTTTTTGTGATTAAAGGATTAAAGCAGAATGGTATCCCTCCCTCTGTTCCTGCGGTGAGGAGGGCGCTGGAGCACACAGCTTTGAAGATCGATGACATCGAGGTGTTTGCACAAGGGCATGGAATAATCCAGGTAACTCTTTTGTGGCTTGTAACAGTCTTAGCATCATCATCATCATCATCATCATCATACGTATTCTGCTGTTTCCTAACATGTTTCTGTGTGCCTTCCTGTAATCTGCTCTCAGGTGGATAAGGCTTTAGACTACCTCACTCAACACGCCTCTTTACCCTCAAGCCAACTAGGATTCTCAGTAAGTGTGGGATCACAGAGAGGCATCTACCTCAGGGACCCAGCCCATGTTCTCGCACCTTCAGATCACGGAGTAGGAATTGAACCAATCTTCCCCGAAAACACAGGTTTCACACGCATTACATTTAAAGCTTCTTTTGTTGTTCTTTTCATTTGTCAAGTGTTTTTATCTTTTAAACAATCTGTATTCTTCTAACGTCCACCACAGGGAACCCTGAGCGAATCTCCTTGCAGCTACACTTAGCGCTGACATGTGCCGCCCCGTGGGTCCAGTGCCCCACCCATCTAGAGCTGATGAACCAGTGTCGCCATGTGAACGTCCGTGTCGATCCTGTGGGGCTGAGAGAAGGAGTGCACTACACAGAGGTAGGGAGAAGAAAGAGAGGAGAATTTTTTTTTTTTTTTTACTGTTTCTGTTTGTATTAATGTGAAACTGATCGCTTTCTGTGCTTAGGTGTGTGGGTATGATACATCAGCACCTAGCTGTGGACCTCTTTTCAGAGTCCCAATCACAGTTATAATCCCTGCCAAGTGAGTTCTTTCACCATATTTATTCTCTTAGAGGTATATTTGTGTCTGACAACTTTCTCCCTTGACCTCACAGAGTGACAGATAGTCGTAATCCAGAGGTGTCTTTCACAGACGTGCACTTCAGACCGGGTCAGATCAGACGCCACTTCATCACTGTCCCTCAGGGAGCCTCCTGGGCAGGTCGGTACACCTTGTGCCTTACATTTAATTCAATAACCTTTTATCTTTTAAAATATTAGTACAAGTGACTTGAAATCCCTTTCCATTCATCCTTTTGTCATCCTCCACTTTCTCTCTTGTCACTGTTCTGCTGTTTCTCACCTCTCAATCCCCATCTCCCTCCTGCAGAGATCACACTGACCTCTCATTCGGGAGACGTGTCCTCAAAGTTTGTCCTCCATGCGGTGCACCTGGTCAAACAGAAGGCGTACCGAGCTAATGAATTCTACAAGTTCTCCTCACTGTTGGAAAGGGGCTCACTAATTGAAGCTTTCCCTGTGCTGGTACGTATATTAAGTTACAAATTTACTTTCATATATCTGGGGTTTTACACAGTCATTTTGTGTGTGTGTATTTCTGCTAAAAGAAAAGTGCTTTGAATGTAGTGACTTATTATTTGGTAAATGCATACAAAAATCGCAAAACTACTTATTAATTATTACTGCGTCTCCTCTCCAGTCCGGCAGGATAGTAGAGTTTTGTATTGCACGCTGGTGGGCGAGCCTGGGAGACGTCACCGTGGACTACAGCATCTCGTTCCATGGACTCCACACTTCCCCTTCACCCCTGCACATAGTAAGTAGAGAGAGAGAGAAACAGAACAGAAATACACATCAGCATTGCTCACAAATAACCCTCGCATTGTCAGTTCTCTGTTTGTAACTCTGATTTGTCTCTTCCCAGAATGCCTCAGAGGGAGTGACGAGTTTTGATGTGTCGTCACCTCTGAGGTACGAGGAGGTGTCCCCCACTATCACCCTTAAGTCCTGGGTTCAGCCTCTCAGGTAATGTCAGACTCACTCGTGTAGATGTTGTTGTTTCACATCAGTGCAGTTGTTTCATCCTTCTTCTTCTTGTTGTTATAGGCCCTTAAATTCAAAGATAAAAGCCCTGGGATTGAGGGACGTTCTGCCAAACAACAGACAACTCTATGAGATTGTCCTCACCTATAGCTTTCACCAGGTACTGCCAACACCATCTGCACTTTCTATTAAAGGAAATGTTGATTTTGTTTTTTATGTGTGTAAATAATCTTCTTTTGCTCTGCTCTCAGCCGAAGAGTGGAGAGGTCACCCCCAGCTGTCCCATGCTGTGTGAGCTGCTGTATGAGTCTGAGTTTGACAGTCAGCTCTGGATGCTACACGACCAGAACAAGAGACTACTGGGCTCTGGGGATGCCTACCCACACCAGGTACCATAGACTCATTAAGAGCTTGTTTTTTCATATGTTGCACACAATGAGCTAACACATCTCCCCCCTGTCTCTTTAACTCCTCCAGTATTCTCTGAAGCTGGAAAAGGGGGACTACACCGTGCGTCTGCAGGTCCGCCACGAGCAGTCCAGTGAGCTGGAGCGCCTTAAGGACCTTCCGTTTGTGGTGTCTCACCGTCTGTCCACCACTCTCAGTCTGGATGTCTACGAGTCACACCGCGCTGCCCTCATGGCCAAGAAGAAGGCAAACTCTCTCACCCTCTGCCCGGGCGCCACTCAGCCCTTCTACATCACAGCCCTGCCAGACGACAAGTGAGTCAATTTGACCAGGGACTTGTATTAACATATCCACAGTCATTCTGAGGAACAAGCCGCTTTGGCCACAGTGGATCCTTTCAGACTCTACAGCAGATGGAGCAGAGATTAAGATGTTCCTCTGTTAACAGAATACAATTTAATCCATAATCTAAACACAATGAATACATATTTCAGTATTTTTTGTAATATTGTGATAAAATTTATTTAATGTTCCTGACTTTTTTTTTCTTTCTCCCCTTTGTTGCTTCTCTCCTTTTTCTTTTCCAGGGTCCCAAAGGGGACGAGTCCAGGATGCTATCTTTCAGGTTCTCTGGTTGTTCCCAAGAGCGAGTATGGCAAGAAAGCAGTGAGTTGTCTTTTTGTTACCCTCTGTCCTCCAGAGCAGTCATCATCCTTCCTCCAGGGATCTAAAGTCACGGTAGCTTTCAGTCTAGATACTTCACAAACGAACACAGTACATCTGGGTCAATCCTTTAGCATGAACATTTCAAATACACTAATTGAATGTGTAATGCCCCAAGTACTTGTGGTCCTGAGGATCGAAAGGAAGACTATTGCTCCAATACTTGTTGCTTGACGATTTGTGTAGGTTTTGTATGGTTTCTGTCATCCCCTTTAGACCTGCTCGGAGTCTGGTGCTCTGGTGCTGCTTGAACTGGTTGATAACCTCTTGGTTGATGCATACCATTTACATTTTTTATTTTCTCTCATTTGCCTTTGTCTGCGCTTCTGCTGTGAGCACCTCTGTCAGATCTCCACTGGCTGTTTATTGGCTCATTTGGATTGCAGATTATTAATAATAACATTCAAAGCTGCTAACCTGATCAAATGACTCCGATGCTTATAGGCCTTGTTTTTATCATTTGTAAATGATATAAATATTAGTGAGGAATGATACAAACAAACAGAAGGTCTGTCTAAAATGACCAGTAGTTTCTAATGGAAGTATATGATACCAGACATTTTTTAGTGAAATATTTGTTTGAAGGGAAAAATGGAAAATGTTCTCTGATGTCTGCAGTACAATGGCAAATGCGTTTTCTTCTTGAGCTTATTCTCACTAACTGTACAGGCTGCAGGTGCTCCTCTTTACTGAGCTAAAGTGTTGATGTCGCACATCTCTGAATACTTTAGGTTGAACAGCTTTGATGCTCTTGACTGACTCAGTGGCTCCTATACGCAAAGATCTTCTTGTCAAGCACCTATTAACAAACTGTGATCAATGTTTCTATATATTGTTTCAATTTATTGTTTGAGTGTCTTGCACACATGAATTGTACTTGATGTGACTTATTGTAAGTCGCTTTGGATAAAAGCGTCAGCTAAATGCAATGTAATGTAATGTAATGTAATGTTAAATATTCACTGTGAACCCACATCACATTTTACTTTAGTTTTCAGTCCCGAGTGAAGATACAGTGCTTATTGAGCAGATGTGAGGAAAACAAGTTGATCAGATTTGTAGATAGAAATCAGAGTGTCAAGTACACCGCTGTTTACTTCTGTAGCATTTAGAAGAGTATGACAGGTAGGTGGATTAGACTCCTGAGGATGAAAGATAAAACATGAAGAAAGAGAGAATCCTTTTTTGGTTTGTTTGTTTTGTTCTTGTCCTTACTGTGTGTTATTCTGACCACCAGGGGCAGGCCTCTGCAAAACGACAAGGGAAGTTTAAAAAGGTACTGGGTGAGCTAGAAACACTGTACAACGTCCACTGCTCTCCTACAACAGATGGAGCTTATTGCTTGAAGGGGATTTTCTTCTATCTTCATTAATTATACCAAATCATGTCATCATTGCTGTAGTGAAATATGCACAAGCTAGCCTTAGTGGGTACTAGTTAACGTTTTCTGGTGGTCGGTAGAGCTTAATATTATATCTTTAAATATGAACATCAATTGATCATGACACTTTTTAAGCTTGTATAACTGGGAATGAAACATACTTTGCTTAGCTGATTTAAGAAGGAGATGGAGTCTCAGAACATTGGCAGGAAGAGTTTACCTTAGTAGAGGAGGTCATTCATTATATTCAATCAGGTATTTTTTCTGACGGAACCATTTGTTTGTGTCTTCGTACAGGATGTCGTTCCGATCGTGTACCACTTAATTCCTGCTCCCAACAAAACAAAGAACGGCGGGAAGGAGAAGGACAAGGAAGCAGACAAAGAGAAGGACGTGAAGGAGGAGTTTGCAGAAGCTATGAGAGACTTGAAGATCCAGTGGATGCCAAAGTGTGTACAGTTACTCTTCTGCCTTGTTCACATATTGCTCGCTTTTCTTTTAAATTCTCATTTAACCATCTGTCATCCTCCCTCTCCTCTGTTCAGGTTGGACACCAGCGCCATCTATGATGAATTGAGGGAAAACTACCTAGATTACCTCCCCCTGCACGTGCAAAGGCTGCACCAGCTGGACTCTGAAAAGGTGAGGGCAGGAATATAAGATGAAATGGACGAAGCTTTAACCAGATTAAACCTCCGGAACATTTCATTGTTTTCTCTTAACACAGCAACTTCCTCTGCTCACATGTTCTCCTTGTGTTCTGGTTCAGGAGCGCGCCAAACGTCTGAAGGAGGTTGTGTCTGCTGCCGACATCGTCATCTCCCACATCGACCAGACGGCCCTGGCTGTTTACCTCACCTTGAAGACTGACCCTCGGCCTGATGCCGCCACAATCAAGACGTATGTCACACAAAATAAAAATATATAATATAAACTAGGGATGGAAATTAATATTGGAAATGATTCAGGTATTCGGTTATGAGTCATGAATATTTTTTGTTCTGTAGTCTACGTTAGTTCGGTTAACCAGATTACCGTTTTTTTCTAGGGTCGAATATTCGAAAATAAATGTGCCTTCAAATTCGCATCCCTAGTACAAACTTCTTTAGAGACTTTTACCAAGGCACACTCAATTGATATAATTGATGTAGCAGAGTAAGAGAATAAGAGAGTTAACCACACAAAAAGAAAATGACCATACCCCATTGAACATAACTCTGAATGCATTGAACATGACTCACTTACCTGGTATACAACATCAACTCAAAGACACGGTAGCAGGAAATGTAGCCGAAATGGTAAGCATATTCACCAAATGATAAAGTTAGTTTGTATTTGATTTACAATGACTGCACATGTCAAAGTGGCACTGTGGAGCTTTTGAAAGGGCGGCAAAAGTTGAAATCACAAGCCCTTTACACATTTCTCAGTTGTTGTGTACATGGATGTTTCAGTTAGCAAAACATAAGGAAGATCTTGCTAAGTTGTTTTTGGGGCAAGGTTGCCCACCTCTGCTATTACTCACTGTAGAAAGGTGATCATCCCAGCAAAAGCTCACTGAACTGCTGAACCTACTCCTGACCTTTCTCTACCCTCTGTTTCAGGGACATGGAGAAGCAGAAGTCCTCTTTGCTGGACGCTCTGTGCAGGAAGGGCTGTGCTCAGGCCGACCATCTCCTGCTGCCCCCCCCGCTGCAGGAGGGGGCCGCTGCGGTCTCCACGGGAACACCACCACCACCACCACCACAACCAGCAGCAGCAGCCAGCAGCAGCAGCAGCAGCAGCAGCAGCAGTAGAAGAAGAAGAAGAGGGGATAGTGGAACAGGTGGCCAGCAGCTCTGATGACACTGTGTACTGCGTGGTGAAAGCGTTGACAGAAACGTTTTGGGAGGTGCAGAAGTGGGCGGAGCTAACTGACTCCAAGGTGAGCCAAATGTTCTTGGAAAATTAATAAGAGGCCAAAGTCTTTCGAAAGAGGGTTATTAAGTTGGTTAACTGTTCGAAGTATAAACATTTGATGCAATTATGATAAAAAGAATATTAGCAGATCCATTATTTTTGTATCATTCCCTTACCTGTGATTTGTTTATTCTAATAGCGTTGTGTAATTAGTTATAAGTAAACACGTTCTACCTAAGTAATGTGCCTTCCCTCTGTTTCTCTCCTGTTGATGGGATTTCTATACATTTCAAGCTTATACAATTTTTTTGTCTTTCATCTTTGCCACTCTTCAGGTGTTGATGTTTTCATACAAACACGCTCTTGTGAACAAGATGTACGGCCGAGCCTTAAAATATGCCTCAAAGATGGTGGAGGAGAAGCCCAGCAAAGACAACATGAAGAACTGCGTCCAGGTACGAGAGCAGGGACGGCCGCTAATGAGATACTCAATGTTTGGCTGCACTGTCGCCAAAGATAAGAAAAAAACAATGGTGATTTATTGTAATCGGTCAGCTTTGTTCCTCTGTACTGACTTCTCTCTTTGTTTTCCAGCTGATGCGACACCTCCGATGGAGCCACTGCGCCACCTTCAGTGAGAACTGGCTCCCTGTCATGTACCCCGCAGAATACACAGCTTTCTAGGCACAGACGCACATGCATGCACCAGCCGCACAGTCCATTAAATGGTAACTTGAATATCATGCCCCTCAGGGTCACATGGTCTATGCATCTGGGTTTTCAAATATAGATGTAGAGGGACACCAAAATGAAGGATAACAGAGTGTGAACGGTTAGAGGCACTCGGCACCTTATAAGGCGAGAGGGGATCACGCTCGTCCTGTCTTTAAATGTCTTGTCATCACAGACAAAACAAATCATTCAGTTTATATTTTTTAAATGTTTTAAACCGTTGCCAAGGCTTGATGATACTGTAGCTCGATGCTTTCTTAGTTGGCTGTTGTCCTTTTTATTTTGGCGTCAGATACATATTTAGAGGCTTTCACATCCCGCTCGTCGTCAGCTCACCGCACTCCAGATCACATAGGTAACCTCATTCACTGCATATCACATAGGTAACCTCATTCACTGCATATCACATAGGTAACCTCATTCACTGCATATCACATAGGTAACCTCATTCACTGCATATCACATACAGTGGGGCAAAAAAGTATTTAGTCAGCCACCAATTGTGCAAGTTCTCCCACTTAAAAAGATGAGAGAGGCCTGTCATTTTCATCCGAGGTATACCTCAACTATGAGAGACAAAATGAGAAAAAAAAAAATCCAGAAAATCACATTGTCTGATTTTTAAAGAATTTATTTGAAAATTATGGTGGAAAATAAGTATTTGGTCAATAACAAAAGTTCATCTCAATACTTTGTTATTTTGTTTTGTTGGCAATGACAGAGTTCAAATGTTTTCTGTAAGTCTTCACAAGGTTTTCACACACTGTTGCTGGTATTTTGGCCCATTCCTCCATGCAGATACCCCATAGAAAATCTTTGGAGGGAGTTGAAAGTCCGTTTTGCCCAGCAACAGCCTCAAAACATCACTGCTCTAGAGGAGATCTGCATGGAGGAATGGGCCAAAATACCAGCAACAGTGTGTGAAAACCTTGTGAAGACTTACAGAAAACATTTGAACTCTGTCATTGCCAACAAAACAANGTATGAAATAGCTACTATATGGCAGTAAAACAAGAATACAGTTTAATGTGATTTGTAAAATATCCATTAAGAAAAAGAAAATCTGTTTACAATTCTGTTTCATATGGGTGCTGAGAGAGGTATCCATAGATCTCTTCATGTTGCTCTCAAAAGTGCACCAGATTGATGCTTTCAACTTCAATATTTAAAAAAAATCTTCCCGGGGGAGCATCCCCCCGGACCCCCCTTGAGAAGGTGAGGTCCGCCCCCCAATAGCACTTTACCCCTGCCTATATGCCGTGAGTTGAATATGGAGCCTTCATTGTAACAGTAATTCAGATGCAATTAGCCTATATAAAAGGCCTCAAATTGGAAGCATTGTCTGGGCCGTCTTTTTCACTCAATAGGTAGATCTCGCCTTTCACCTAGGCCGAGGTCGGTGATCTTGGGCTTAAAAAGGTTGGTGACCACTGATTTAGATGATCCAGAAGAGGATTGGGAGAATGTCATTATGCTCAGATGAAACCAAAATAGAACTTTTTGGTAAAAACTCAACAAGACGTGTTTGGAGGAGAAAGAATGCTGAGTTGCATCCAAAGAACACCATACCTACTGTGAAACATGGGGGTGGAAACATCATGCTTTGGGGCTGTTTTTCTGCAAAGGGACCAGGACGACAGAATGAATGGGGCCATGTATCGTGAGATTTTGAGTGACAACCTCCTTCCATCAGCAAGGGCATTGAAGATGAAACGTGGCTGGGTCTTTCAGCATGACAATGATCCCAAACACACCGCCCGGGCAACGAAGGACTGGCAAGGCACAC